GTTGGGGCGTAGGCAGACACGATAAACAGACATCTATCAACTTGTCGCTTGTGAGACTCCTTCACAGACGTTGCCAGACGAACCGCACAGAGGCAACTATCAACAGGTATCCAGTCAATTAGGGACACTTTCGCCGGGTGACTTAGGTCGATAGCAACCCCTGAACGGTCTAGTCAGTCTCTTTATGACAGCGCTCCCAATTTTCCATAGGTCGAGTATGGACTTTCTTGCTAACCGAAGCAGTCGTGACAGATCTCGATAAAAACCGTCCTCAGTGACAGAATTACAGTTTATCAGATGGTACGCTGATACGACAGATAAACACCGTTTACTGCATCGACTTACATTGATCTTAATTGAGCTAGACAACCACACAGCGCAAGGACGACTGTTTACTTGGATCGAGTCCAGTAAGGCGCTTTCAGCTTTGGGGCTAAGCGCAAATCCCACACCGTAGATACCACGAACCACTGCGTCAGGATCACCTGATACCCAGAGTGAAATGTGGAATAGCTGAGCTCGTCCGAAACGGCTTGAGATGCACGACCGAAGTGGGACAAAACACACTCCGACAGATAAGGAGAGCAAGGTTTCAGCAAGGGATGTCAGTTGCCCAATTAGACAGAGAGTACAGACATTGAAGGATGCAACATGGATCAAATCTTTTGAGGCTAGTGAGTGGTTGTTTTAGATTATTTTTCGGGCGATGGTTTAGACACCGGACAATGGCTAGGGGATTGGCAAATGGGTTGATCGCATTCGATGGTTATGGAAGGAATGTGGGGAAGGGCAGTTGACCGAAGTGGTTAAGGCTGAATGATGCTCCGCGGTTGCCCACGTAGAAGAAACGGGTTTGGCTGAGGTATTCCATTTTGAGGCTTTGAATCAAAAGGCTGATCCACAAGGCAGTGGGATCGGGGACCCTGCCCCTAGTCTCTGACTCAAAAGTTTGAATCGGGAAGCAGCGGTTGTTAGGGTTCTCTTGAAAGACCCTAGAAAAATTTTAAAAAAAGCGTTCGGCTGTAGCACCCTCCAGTGCCTAACTGCCATGCCACCCGAAGGAAGCACGAGGGCTGGGATACTGCCAGGTTGCCCAAGCCTAGACAGGGGAAGTCGAGTGGCGGAGGTCGGACTCGAACCACGGACTTTCCGGTCAGTAAATTCGCTCTCTAACCACTTGAACCATCTCGCCATGTGTGCGCGAAACTAAAACTTCAAACCGACCCTTCCTGGAGCTAATTACTCAATGATCTTACCCACTTGGCTGCAGGTGGCTGGCCTGGCCCGAGGACACAGCAGGCGCATTTTGAGCATCACCAAACTCTTTGATTTTAAAAGTACTTCGACCGTATTCAATAATACACCGACAGTCATGGTCAACCGGTAGCCCATCGGAGTGTGCGGTTTTGTGGGGCTGACTTTTCTAAACCATCCTTCCTCGAGAGATGACAGCATCGCTTCTTTTATAAATATGGAGATGCTGGTCGCCTGAGGGAAACGCCCTACTGCCTTCACACTCCCATCGCAGAGGACAGACCGCACCTCCAGACCATCTCGTAATACGACTACTCGTAGTGCGGGGACTCGCTGTTCTCCGTCGGGCTGCAGATCGTTAGCTTTCCTGGGGTATCTGAGTTACAACCAGTGTCGCCCGCAGCAGCATTGCAGCACTGAAGCCCGAACACCATTAGGTAAAAGTTCTAGGCGGGGAAAACCGTATTGACTATAATGCGGATCATCATGTTAGATCATGCTAGATCTGGCAGCAACGTCAAAAAGTAAGTTGGCCCGGATGGGGATCGAACCCACGACATTCGCGTTATTAGCACGACGCTCTAACCAACTGAGCTACCGGGCCAGTCACAGAAGCCTCATCGTAAGTATACAGATTCGCATTCACTTATGAACCGTATCTTGATAAACTTTACCTGAAATCCACGAAGCCGGGAGTTATCGTTTCAGCTAGAACGGATGTACTGTATGGAAACGATTACCCATATTAGGTATAAGGTTCAACACGGTCCCGGAGGTACAACATCCAAGGCTGTGCAGCGGCATAAGCAGCCGACTTCGTCAGGATTTTTGATGTCCCAATTTTTCTAGGTTCCGATCCGCGCCAACCAGTGCGTGCGAACTACACGGAGGATCCGCCATCAGAATATTATTAAAGCCTGTCAAACCAGATCGCTTCATCGGTCACAGTAACGCCCGAAATGGGACTGAAATGACTCACTCGCCACGTCATACGCTACATCGGGGATGTTTTGTACCTGGAAACATCACAACACATCACACAATCAAAGCCAAGGTGTTCTACAGAGAGAGGTGTCGATCAGTTTTCAGCAACGCTGTCAGTAGTATGTTCGGTCTGGACAATAAGTTGTCCTTCAGTCGATTATCAAACGACCTTTCAAGGGCGGATCTGATTCAGTGAATAGCCAGACGCTTCACTGGAGAATCCTGCGACACGATTTCGTGTCACATGTTTTCGACCACAGAGGTGAAATGACTGAGCACTGAAAAAGGATAGAGTAACGTGCCCTCCAGCGGAAGTTTCATTGAGAAAAGTGATGAATGAATCAGGACCAGCGCTAGCAGTTCTATTACGAGGCTTGACTCCCTAATCGAGACAGTAAATTTCTCAGCATAAACTGCCAATTTGTACGCCGGTCTGACTTAAACGAACACTTATACATTTAGGTATTTTTGTACCTTGTACCTCAAGAACTAGACTTCCTCTGTGTGAAGGAGCGAGAAAGTCCGAAGACAACTCATTGAAAATGAATCGCTCAAACCGGGCTAAGGCTTGCGTCCTCAGAATGGAAGAGCTTTGACGCTCACTGATGGTGTTGAGTAGAACCTCATCCAAATTCGGTGCTTTTTTGAAAGTACATGTGACGAAAACGGCAGACTTACTGGATCTGGCCACAAACAGCTCCACAAAATACAAGGCAGTTCAGGTTGGACAATAGTACCGGTTGTGTCCCACTGTGTTTCCTCTGCGATGAAAAATCCGTTGTCTTTGGCGAATCGGCCTTAGATACAACGTCCGTCGTTGTTCGGCCAGTAGAGAGCTGACCAGATTGTAGTTCACTCAACGCACGTGTTGCAGTTGGCGTGTCGGTCCTGGTTACCGCACCATATTGTTTATTGCTCATCAATGAAGGGGATGTTGCCAAGAGATCGGCGGTCGAAGGAGGGTGGGGTTTATAGGCCTCGGTATTAGCAGGCTGTGAAAATAAAAGGACATAGAAACCAAGGGGTCGATCAATTCGATTATCGTGAACTCGGAAGTAAGCGCCCGGGGTTCACACTCAGCGTAGTATAAAATCCTCATCCAGAAATATCGCTCTCCAATAATCCAACCCGACGATTCTCCTGAAACTTCTCGAGGGAAGGCTGATGACTTATCTTGGTCGGTAGCTCAGATACGGTAACCGGTGGCTGAATTGTTCTCTAACCTTGGCAGTCTTGTTGCGAACGCATTGTCACCAACCGGGATGACGGTGCGTCACCCTACATACCGAAACAAACGCAAATCGCTGGCCAACTACGCACTGATGATGCCACAAAGTTGTCAAAATCAACGAACGATGTTAACACCAACTTACTATGGTAGCTACTTAAGATGGTACTTAAAGTTGAATGTTGTATATGCGTGTGCCATGCAATGAGCGCGCACCATTAGAATACCAAGTAAGGCGAGTCAAGAACAACACATGACTATTTGCGTCGCCAAAATGAAGACCAGTTTTCAGTCCTAACCATTGTTGTCGGCGGCTCAAGCATGAAAGGAAACTGGTCACTATCGAACTGAATGTTGTGGAAGCTTCGTGGCTGTATAACCGGAGTTTATGCGGTTCTCCCTCCCTCATCAGTGAAGCCCGTCGAAGAAACAGCATATGGACGCTCTGTTGGTTGCCCTAGGTTTTGCGGGTAAGATCCCTAACGATGCTGCAGCACCGAAAACTTTATGCAAAAAAGTATCCTCCTGACGCCATCTGGCATCGACGCATCAAGCGAATGACCGCGCTTTACTCGAGTTCAACCAAGACCCCTTCTTTGGTAGTTTTACGTGAATTTACGCAACTTGCTTCTTGGCTCCGCAAACCCTTTTTCAAAACCATACACTCATCAGACCAACGGACTGATGCGAAGAAACCTTAGCGTATCCACAGAAAAAGTTGACAACCGTTGAGAGTGACTGGAATTTTCCGGAAACCAATTAGTTCAATCGGAGAACACCGAGACCGCAACTGTTCGCCTCCGATTTGTGGCATCACAAATTCAATATTACTAGACATCGCTTCACGGATAAGTACGACAAAAAATCGGACGGGATGAAATACCATACCCGTGTTGGGTCGCATTAGGTAGACTGGGCAAGAAACCAAACAACAGCACTGTTAACAGAGTGTGAAAAAGTTTCTCGGAGCAAAGAGCGACAAACTGACGACCAGGTTATTGCCTCCGTTGCAACTGAACGGTAACTATGTTGACAAACGCTCACTACTAAAAGCCGCAATTTCACGACAGCTTTCGCAAGGTCCTGACAGAAGGACCACTGTGGCACAAATTATGTGCCGTGCTAGTACTGATTGAGAGAGTATATCGCTTCTGGTGTCCCGTTCTGGAGCACACATGCTTGGGTAAAATGGTGGAATGATAAACATACCTCTTGACGAGATGGATGATAATTTGAGGTTGCTGCCGGTGCGGTCTGTTTAACGTCTGACGGCCTCGCCATGGTGGTGGGGCTAAAAACTGGATTGGGGCGCAAAATACGTTGTAGAGTGGTTAGTCTTCGACCAATGCGGTTAGAGCCGTCCAAAGGACGGTTCTCCTTATCGTCGCTTGGTTCTGTTGGGCCGTTCGATTTGTGGACGATATCCAAAAGACCATCCACATCGGACAGGTGGAGGCGACTGACGAGTACTGACGTTTGATCCAGTCGGTCACGAGGATCTACAGGTTTGTCAATGCCTTTTTTAGCTTCTGGATTTATTTGCTCATCCTCTGATCTCGAATTATTGGGCAGCCGTGAACTAATAGATGATATTGTGCCGGACATCTTGACACCCTAAGTGAAGGGAAACGGTGTTTCGGGTAAAAGCATCAGCAGCATCCTTCAAAGTAATGGTAACAAACGATACAAAAACACAACTGATGATTCTAGTAAAATGGAGCTGTGATAGGGTGCAACCGTTTAAGTCCACGAAAATTAAGTCCAGAAAGGCAGAGTATGACCCAACCAACATTCCGAAATGCCTTGCTCGACTCGATTTTGCACATTTTATTTTTGGTGAAAGCAGACGCGGGAAATAAATCCATGCATATCACACTCTGAAAGACCATAGACAACTTCCAATAATCGCCCAGCCACGCGATGCAAGGTCGAATAGCATGAATTGTATTCAGTATCGAAGTCAGTGGAAAATTGGGCCATATACTTTAAACTGCTTGTAAATGGTACACAATAAAAGGAGAGTATTGGTTGGACCATTAACCTTATATAACATTTCGAGGTATCCCGTACAAGTCTTCATAATCGAGGAAAGCACCTGAAGAACACTAGCTAACGGACAACAGATGACACAAACATCTGAGCGAATATAAAGCTCGTCGACAAGGTCTGTAGAGGGTCTCAAAGGAGAGCATACTTCCAAGGGAGCACAAAGGTCTGGTTCCGAAATCTTTCACATCATAAGAGAGCGGGTGCCCGCAGGAGACAATTCTCAGAATAGCGCAGCCTGTTCGTCGTGGTGGGAAAGGAATTATTATACAACCTCTAACAGAAATAACGGAACTTATTAATCAGTTACTATTTACTCAAATACCCTCAGCATATGTTCAAACAGCAGGCACGTCAACCACAACGCTCACACCTTGTTCTAATCAAAAAAAGTAGTATGTCCCTAATGGTGACGGTCCCCATCCAACGATTGAATAGAAAATACTCCTGGGCTATACCCCGCCAAAAAATCAACGGTGGGAAGTTTAAAAGAACGACAAATATCATCAACTCACTATAGTCTGTTTGGCATCATTTGATGTCCGGATCGACGAGTCGGCTGGATAAAGGAAGAGAATGAAACGAAAGTACTAAAGTGGCAGTTCCCGATGAGAAAATCAAGTGCGACGGCTATGTTATTCTGTTCTAACCTGAGTGAAACTCACAAGGTTTCCTATGTCTGTGGAGTGAAAACCAATAAATATAAATTGTGTGCAATACATGTGTAACAGTCAAAGGTCGATGGCTGAGGGAGGAAAAACAGGAAAACCTTGCGCTAGCGAACAACACTCCATACATCACCCTGCACTGAAGTACTTCGGTAATTTCACACTCGCGGGTGGATTAGCTAGTCAGAATGCGTATATATCGAAGAAAACGCAGACCAACAGTTAATACGCAGGTATCGCCAGTGCCGAACTGGGCGAGATGGCCGAAGTGGTTGGAGCGCGAATTACTGACCGGAAGGTCCGTGGTTCGAATCCGACCTCCGCCTCTCGACTTCCCCTGTCTAGGCAACCCCTGGGCAACCTGGCAGTATCCCAGCCCTCATGCAACCATCGGGTAGCTAGGCACCGGAAGGCTGCTACCGCTATTTTTTTGATCGCCTTTATCGCCACTTGATCGGTCCGGAAGGCTGTTAGAAAAATCAATCTTCTGATTTGCCTATGAAATGACAGTTCTTATCATTTTTTGTTCCCTCTCATAACATGCTTTTTCTGTGGAAATATCGGTCTACAAGAACACATGCCTGTGCTTGGGGGCGAGATGGACAAAGTGGTTGGAGCGCGAATTACTGACCGGAAGGGCCGTGGTTCGAACCCGACCTCTGCCTCTTGACTTCCCCTGTCTATGCTTGGGCAACCTGACAGTATCCCAGCCCTCGTGCTTCCTGCGACTGGCATGGCAGCTAGGCACCGGAAGGGTGTTACGGCTGAAAGATTTTTTTGGAACTTCTGGGAACTAATTAACCGGACGGTTCAACAAGTATGAGTACAACGGTTTGAATCGCTCAGTCGGCAAAGGTCGTTTGTTTTATTCTGAAACAGTCCCTTGAGTCCGACGTTCAGAGCAGTCCAGCCGAGCATGAAAATGTGCGAACAACCAATAGTATGAGCAGAAAACTAATGGAAAATGGCACTCTAGTGGAAGCTACATCACAAAAACCATTGTCATGAAAAATTACTATAAAAATCATTAATTAAGATAATAGTATTGGACTGAAATCTATCCAGCTGAACCAGAAAAATGTTGTTTCCACATCCAAGGTATAAAATCCCCAAAAGACCGAGAACAAAAGTTTATTGAGTGCAGGGTTGGGTGGCGGGCGAGATTTCAATCCACACCAATCCCCATGTTCGTCAGATTTTGTGACTTTTCAACTGACGATCATGGATAATCGCCAATAGTGAAGGGTGCCTCAACAGCACGCAACCACACACACACAGTCAGTAATTTAAGGGAGGCTGTTGGGCTCACGCATGATTGCCGTGCACCAATCGGGTATATTAGTAAAGCCTTATGCCTGAGTGTGTCATACGGTCTGACTTATACAAAATGACCAAGCGCCTGGGTAACACGCCGGAAGACGGTCAGACCAATGCCCAGTATGAATATGTTGGTGTAAAGCTTGGTGGCATTTCAGAATTCACTTGAAGATCATCTACTCAATACTATGGAGCGAGATGGCCCAAGTGGTAAGAGCGCGAATTTACTGACCGGAAGGTCCGTGGTTCGAATCCAACCTCCGCCTCTCGATTTCCCCTGTCTAGGCCTGGGCAACCTGGCAGTATCCCAGCCCTCGTGCTTCCTTCAGGTGGCATGGCAGCTAGGCACCGGAAGTGCTACGGCTGAACGCTTTTTTACTATGGAGCACGAGTTCTAGGGTGGGAATGGAGATTTCGGTGGGGATTAAACTGGAAAGCTTCGGCGTTCTGTGTGATGAACTGTTGGGTGAATGGTTGAGTGAATAACACACTCTACGCTTTGACGACCACGGGCAATATTTGTAAACAGCCCAAAAATCTGAACCTGAATTTACAAAGTGATGGGAGGTAACTGGGTTCGCGCTGGCAACGGCAACACTTCCAGTGATCAACCTAAGGGTAACCTAACCCTTGAAGAGCGGCAATACTGACGTGTGGCTATACTCACTTTATTGAACATGAATTCCACAGGCATGTTGAATGACGTATCGTCAGACTCCGAACTAAGTCCTGGGACCCTGTACTATTAAATGGGTCGCGAATAGAACGAAAACCCCAGTCACCGTTTATTAAGGCCGAAGCGGCGACTGAACTGATGGTTTCAGGTAGATGTCTAAAGGACGGGCCCGACGGTCTTTGGATTGGACATTCGTTGTTGGCAGTAGGGGGGGGAGTTTGTGTGTGCAGATTTCGTCCTGAAAGTGAAGCCAGTCTATGCTGAAAAGCCGAGAAGCATAAATTGGCTTCACTTATAGGACGAAATCTGTACAATTTATTGAATTAGTGTTCCGGAAATGGAGACCAGGCAAAGCTTTCACTTAGCATTCAAAAATGTCATCATGTGCTTCACAGAAATAAGGGTGGTTTTTTAAACTACATATGCAGTTTTCGGACGAGAGAACAACTAGTTTTGCGAAGTCTTTTCGGTGGTAGGAGGTTACTGTGAAATACCGCAGTGTCATGGGGGCTTCAGCATACGGCCAGGAGACGGACTAGTGGAGCCTGTCCTAGTTGCTTGTTTCAAACACGCTGAGTGAAATGCAATCGAACGGGACCGTTGTTCCTTGTTGAAGCTGCACCCATACAGCAGCTGGGCGACGATTCTTAGCGTCCACATTTGACTGTGCAATACGTCCTACTTTTTCTCCTGAAGAACTTCAACTGGTCTCTGCCCAAAAAGTCAGTGTGGAAAGAGCGTCTTTGTCACTGGCACACATTTGCCTGCTGTCTATCAGAGAAGTCTGCTTATTATAGTTTACTCCAATACCAATAAGTTCGGTCGAAAAACTCCGTTCGCAAAGCGGTCCTGTAGGACAAGTCGTCCCAGTATTTTTCTGCAGGATGTCTTCATAGAAACATTAAGACAAACTGACAATCATTTTAAAGATGAAAGTGAATATGACTACGTGGTAGGCTAACAGACCACAACTTGAGCACTCCCTTCTTCGCGTCTAGTCATCTGTAAAAAGATGCTTTAGGGTATCTATCGTGTCATCTTGACAATTCTATTGAAATACCCTACGACAAACACCAGTATCAGCAGGAAACAGTTCAGTGTGAAACTATTGGACGGATGGACCAAACCGATCCTGACTTTTCCATTACTTCTGTTTATGAATAGACAATCCTCCGGTTCTTCTGGTTTGTTCGAGTTGCATGGCAGCTATGAACCGAAATAGCGCCACGGCTGAACGACCGATACTGTTTTTGAAAAACACGATGTCCGGATATGAGAAATTGTGGAGACCCTAGGCTTCCAAGTTCAAGGGGGGCCCTACGGATGTTCACTAAAACACCAACGATTGGTCAAGCCAGAGTGAAGAATGCCCGTTTGTCAACGAAACCATTAGAGAGCTTATTGCTCAATTCACTGAACAGTTACATAAACCGACTGTGATGGTTGCGGACCGATATACTTCTCTACCAAGAAATCGCTTCTTGTGATTTAAGGTGCTTCCAACTAGCAGGTCCGTCTACCAGCCACCCAACATCTAAGTCTAAGGCGAACATTACTGGGTGCCATACAAAAACAAGTCCCAGAATCTTTCGAACTCATCTTCCGGTTGAGGTGTGTTCCCGACGACGTCTCTTACAATTCCTGTCACATCATGAGTAATTGAACAGATGAACACAAATTGAGGAAATCGATTACACAAGGGAAAAGTCAGTAAAAGCGAAGTAGGAACTTAGAATGTTGGGAATGACTACCATATTGGTATTCGTATAACACTGACCCTCGAACAAAAGTATCGGCACCTTTCTGCATTAGGACTGTGGATCATCGATGTCCATATCACCAGCAAGGGAATGTTCCCTATCCGCACGTGATAAACCTGAGCTTTTGTGTGACCTAAGAAAAATTCCAGCAACACCAGAATTGGAGGGCTTACAGGCCAGACTATGCGTTCGCAATAGTTCCACAGATGGACAGTAGTGAAGAGGATTTTCATACTGCGGAGTCCAAAGGAATTTGTATGAAATATGACGGTACAACATCACTTTACAATGTCTCATAGAACTCAAATTCTTCCGGGAAAAATGGCCTCGTAATAGTGTTGCTAACTTAGAGACCCGAGATAGCTCAGTGGTTAAGGCGCCTGCATACGGACTGCGAGGTCCGTGGTTCGAAACAAACCTCAGTATCTTGATTGTTCCTGTCTAGGCTTCGGCACTCTGGTAGTATCCCAGTCCTCGTTCCTCCTTCAGTTGACACGGCAGCTAGGCACCGAAAGGTGCTCCGACCAATAAACAGGCGTCTGTCTGGCGTATTCGGAGTTGTGCACAAGAATATCACGCGCAAGCTAAGCATTAACGCACAGCCTTTAGTTGACACAACACAGTACTTATAAGGTGACTGGAAACTATTTCACAGTCCACTAACTGTTTCGCCCATAAGGTAGGCGTAGTCCCCGAGGTTTCATAAGCCTTATGCTCTACTTGAACACCGAAATGTACATGGTTGCCGAACTACACTCATTTGCCAAACAGGCTGATGTCTGCGTTTCTGATATTCTTCGGCAGAATGTACTGCGTACAAGCCGCCTCATCTTTCAGCTCACACAACGTTCGAGATATCGACATAACACACGCGTAGAAATCGGTATTCATTGGGAACATAAGGTTGATGGAAACTCGGAGACTACGCCCAACTGATGAACCTTGGGAAGGGCAAAAGAAGTAGCGGGTTGTCGAAGGATTTTCAGCAATGTCGCAAGTAGTGTGTTACGTCAGATAGATATTACTCGATATCTCAAGTGAAACCTGAGGCGGCCTCTGTGCAACACATTCAGCTGAAGAATATAAATAACATATTCATTTGAATTTCTCACCAAAATATATAGCTTCTGTTTCGACGAACGAGTTTTTCGCTTGCACGCGAAAACAACTTTTCTGCTATATAAAACGGGTACTCTATACAGAAAATGCGACAAGTGTAGCCGAAATATACCTACTCTGGTTTTCACCACATTCATTGGAGGATTGTCCATTATGGGGCCCGTTGAAACCAGTATCAAACGTTTTCGCCGTGTTGGACAGAAGTGCTGCACCATCAGTTATGGGTACCTCATCGGTCCGGTTCCAGATCTGGACAGGAGATCTGCCAGAATGCAGTAGCTTGGATGCAAGCTGACCAGAAAAATAGACGAAACGCGAAAGCCCTGTAAGACAACTGTCGTAAAAAAGGATATCTCCACTCTCGTCTACAGCAAGGTATTTTGCACCTGAGTTACCGAATGATAGTGAAGACAACAGTTCACGGTAAGAGTTAAACATGCAGTCATAACAAACTTGTTCTTATTAGTAAACATTACTACGCAGTTTTTAGTCCTCGAGTGTTCAGGGTCGGATTACATGAGTGGATTTCATCCAGCAAATGAAGGCAATTTATGCTGAAAATCCGTGTGGTTGCTTCACTTTCGTTGAGAATAATCAGTAGTGCACACCAAAAAAGTTGTGGGGGAATCCGACTACACGAACCCCTCCGACTGGTTGGTGAACAGCGTACCATTCGACCACAAGTGCCTGACCAGCAGTAGGCTCGATTGGTACTTAGGACGTAGGGTCACTTACCCTTCGATCGTTTAGTACCCTCCGACGAACAAAGATCGTGCAACACGAAGGACGCGTGGGAGATGATATACTGCCAAGCTGCTCAGACCAACAGAAGCAACCGAAATACTGGTAATGATTTCGAAACACGGTCAGGAGCCTTAGCTGCAAACCTATCTCAAACTCAAGCATATCACATCATCCCGTGTAAACTGTTATCTAGTGACGACCAGGGTAGTCCTGTCTAAGGGGAAGCTCAAAAGAAGAGAGATCTTGCTATGAGAAACGTGATAAAAGCTCATTCACACCACAAAGAAATTTATAACGGATTACAAGCAACCTCAAGATCAATCAGGTGTGAATATTCTACCTCAATGAGATGGGCTCGATCAGTAAGCGCTAATTCGAGTGTGCATCCTCACAACAGGGTTTGTTGCATGGCCAATTTCTGTAGTTAGTATCAACTGGTCGCTGAAGACACTCTCCGGCAATTGCGTTCGCACTGAATCGTTACGGTGACTTCGGGGCTTGATGTGTGTAGGTGCGTGATCATGATGTGAGCGAATGTACAGGTGTAAACAGTAATCGGATCAAGTAACCTGAAAATCCGCCTATTATTCGAAGCGGCAGTGCAACAATGAAGAGTATATTGGCTACTCTTCCTGCTATTTATCAAGTAAGGAAAGATGCTTCACTAAGACAATAAGCGGGGCGACCGGTCAGCCGCGTATGCGCCTTATTCATTCGTCTCCTCAGTCGATCAACTTTGAAAGGGCGAATTCCGGCGAACGAACTCAGTGAGTACCATGTCTGAAGGACACGGAGGAGTACAGACATAGGTTATGTGTAGGGGATATCGGGACCCGTCTGCGTGTTAAAAAGAACAACACCATATGTATGCGCGCGCGGTGAGCTAAATCAATGTGTCTCAAGTTGAGCGATAAAAAAACACCTTGGAATAGGCTGGTTTGGCTCACTAGGTGCGTATGCATTTTGAGCGCGCATCTGGATTCCGATATCCGTTGCACATCACATATATCTGTACTTCTCCGTGTTGGGCAGTTGGGCTCAAGATGGCTCAGCAACTGCGGCGCAAACATACTGACCAGAAAGTCCGTGGTTCGAACGTGGCCTCTGCTGGTCCTGTCTAGGCAAGCAGGTAATATTTCAACCCCCGTGCCTCCTTCTAACGACATGGTGGGTGTGTACCAAAAGGGCGTTACGCCGGAACGATCAGAGTGTGCAATGGATGCATTCAGTGGAAATCCACCAGCCCTTCAAGTGACCAGTCACAAGCAGAATGCAGCCTAAGTTCGCGCGATATAATCACATCAGTATCACGACTCAGTTCAGAGGAAAATATTCCTCGCAGCTAACAAGCATTGGCGGATATCGCCGTCGGCATACTTCCGCTGGAGTGGTACCATCCGGTAGGCTCCATGTGTCATCCCCCACACAGAGTGGTTCAAAACAGCATACTGAAGTTGATTTTTCCGATTCTGGCCGAACTTGACCATTAATTGGGCGTGAAACTGCAACTATCTGTAAACCTTGAGGTGAGCGAGTAAACAAAGGAGCCAGTTCAATGGGGTAAATAGAGTACTCCGCCAGAACAATGTCAAACATGTTTTAGAGTTGGATAGCACGGCCGATTTTGACGGTCCCACTAGGCTACGTCACATGAAGGGTAGACACTAAAGACAAATAAGTGCATCTAGAAAAACTCTCAAGTAAATTATACAGTCAAACGCTCATTTTTCGTACTGTAGTGAAGCCCTATAAAGCGACCGTTGATGGTTAAAAACGGTTATGCTAGAGAATGGGACCTGTGCGAGGTGTTCTTACTTGGTGATTGTTTTTTTTTAAAGACCAAGAATTTGTACCCTTTTCGTTTCGGGAAAAAACAGTGCAGTTGATCATTATTGAGGTTACGGGAGGACAAATTCGCCTAACTGTCATTACCATAAAGGTGGAAATCCAGACTGTATCTTACCACGAATCACACTGCAACCAACTGCTCCAACTAAAGAAACCAGAAGTCTAACCGAGACGCGCATGTGCAAGCATCCTATCATCAACTCATCCACGGAGGACTTACGTGCGTCGTGCTCAAATCTGTGTCCAACGTAGAAGACGGAAAGCAGAAGTCTAACCGAGACGCACATGTGCAAGCATCCTATGCAACTCCTCCACGGAGGACTTACGTGCGTTGTGCTCAAATCTGTGTCCAACGTAGAAGACAATCCTGAGAGGCAAGGCAAATTAGAAAACCGCTTTCGGGGACGAATGGGTGAAGTGGCGACGGGAGTCTGGTTCGGTGGTGGTCTCTGTGGTGAACTCACGTCCACACGTTCGGGATCAATCTGGCCGGTTTTCAAGTCTGCTGGCTGTAATAGAATGGAAGACTTTGCTAAAATATGTGTTGGTAAAATATCCTGTCAAAGAACCTGCCCATTTCATCGTAAACTGAAATACTACACGCCTCTGTAAGGATGAGATTCGTACATTAAAGTCGGGCAACAAAACTTCAAAACTTTTACCTTTCGAGAAGCGTAAACTAGGGACTTAAAACGAGTTTCTAGTACTTTCTGATAACCACTTGGTATACGAAGCAGGCGACACCAAACAGTCAAACTCTACCAAAACACACAACAACGATAAAACAACGAACCGGAGGAGTTCGGACTAGGCTGTGTTCTGTACAAGCGTCATTGTTCGGTTGTAATTCGGACGGTGCACATTCTTTCACACCGCGCTGGCTGTTGCTGGCCAAACTGTTGGATGTCAAAGAGGAAACCGTGGTTCCGCTATTGTAACCTCCTTCAACGAAGTTGTCCCCTTCTTCATCCTCCACGTGGGCATCTCCAATTGTCGATGTTGCACAGGCTTTTGTTGGCACCGTGCACTCGGCCTCGCTTGCACCACCGTCCAAGTCGCCAAAGGCATCTTCGAGCAATTTGAGCTCTGCCTGATCGATTTCTATCTCACGGTTTTCTGCCTCTGCTTCTTCGATCGATAACAGAGCTGGTTCTCCAGTAGGTTGACGGAAACTGGACAACAACGGTGCCTCAACCGACTTTTCAGTAGGACCTGTAAGATGTAATGAACTGTGATCAGATATACAGTATCAGAGATAGGGGTATGGAAATACAGTCATTCCTTTATGATCACCTCGCATTTCAATAACCACACTCTAGGAAGAAACGATTTTGAATTCCAGAAAACTTGTGTGTTGCACAACCGCCGCTAAATGGGCACCATTCAGCTACGAAACAGGCGCCCTTCTAGAAGAATACTTTAACAAGAAAATGATCGCTAAAAACATCCAGTTACTATACCGAAAATGGAGAGTTTTGTTCAAGTCAATGAATGTTTTGAAAGTAAAAATTCTGATCGAAAGTTGTCACTTTCCGCACCATTACACTTCTCAATACTCATCTCCGTTTGTATAAAGTTTCCACATATATAGAAAGCTCAACAGGTGTGGGGGGCTGTGTTCTCATAGTAGAATTGAGATCACCAGGCCGTCTGTACGTATCCAATATCCATCTAACGTACAATCTTCTGCTCGGACGGAATGAGGGGTTACGGTGCCAGTGACTTTGTCGCAAATCTTCATTCGGAAAGAGCTTGTGTCGGGAGCACATTGGCCTGTTCTCAGTTATTGAAACCAGTCTCGACAATGAGGCCATCAACCATCGACTACAAAACATCAGTAAGAAATATTGGTGCTGAACTGTCGCACACCCATAGAGAAAAACAACCAGGTAAAACGGAACCATTCGTATTCACTCTTGTGTCAAATAGACACGATCAATTGGCTAACTACAGCATCGTTGTCCCTCGTCTTGCCTCGAATGACACCTATGCAATGCTCGTGGCTGCAACGGATTTGGTTGACTAAGGAGAGACAAGGATTTTGAGCACGTGGTGGCAAGTGATGGGGTTAGGGTAACGTATAGGAACGGTACGGAGATATAAGAACAATCGAAGTGCGACTAGTTCAGTCATTATGGATAGAAACTACTGATCGGAAGATTCTTGGTTAGAATGTAACTCTGGCTTCTTAGTCGCACCTGTCTACGCTTTGACAACNATCGGAAGATTCTTGGTTGGAATGTAACTATGGCTTCTTAGTCGCACCTGTCTACGCTTTGACAACGTAGAAGTATCTCAGTTCTTGTGCTCTCTCCGAATTGTACGGAAAACATGTACAAAGTGCTACAGTTGAACGGTTATTATATCTTATTCATCCACAAGCGTAAGCGCACGGTCATCTCCGAAGCGACCGATCATTTTCAAGGGTTGCCACTCCATACTGGTTATCTTTCGTAATCAGATCGTTCGTCACTCATTATCTGGAGTAAGATGGAAGATGATTCGCCCACTGCTTCACACTACACTGCAATCGACCTGGAGCGAAACGATGACGCCATAGAACGGAATATGACTTGCGAAAAGAATAAAACAGTTTGCACACTCTGTTATTCTATTGGTAACATCCAAATCGGTTTAAGCAGTTGATTCCTTTGCGGTACGTACAGCAGGCATAAGTGCGGATTGCACTCATCCGCCAACTTACAACGAAACCAGGATTTGGCTCCAGTGGGGAACAATGTAAAGTCATTTAGGCGGATGGAAAAGAAGGGTCAGTTAAAAACGCGATACTAAACATCAACTCAGCAGATTCCATCAGAGACTAACAAAATGACGGTTTAGGCGGGCGAAAGGCAATCAATTCATCACCTACAAACTTTGTACCATAGACACATTGGTTCCAGCTGCTACACTCTCAATCATCGGAAACCGGGAGATGGCTGGCGGTACGGCCAAAACTTGGAGACGATTCGACAAAGTTTACTGGTTAGTGTTTATGTACTTCGTTGCCAGGTTATAAATTTCCCACCCCTAGGTCGCTTCTACTCAGCACAGGGCTGGACGAAAAGACCTCTGCGAGGCAGGCGACCTCCTGGTATGCGAAGTACGTGACCTAACCAGCGCAGCCCCTGAAGCGGGAGTTTTCTCTTCCTAAGACCATCTGTCGCACCTCAGCATTGCTAATCCGATATTCACACCAGACGTCACCAATGCTTCGGACACAGTAATGGTCAAACACGCATCTTTTGTATGTC